TTTAAATGCAAGCTATAATGACACCAGACATGAGTGGCACTGTGAACTGGCAGAGTACACGCTGTAGGACTGATACACCCGCTTTGAGACAACTAACTGCTATTCAATCTATAACAGTGAAAAAGTTTTTTGTTTTTAAATGCAAGCTATTGTGACACCATTGAGTGAGTGGTGGCACTGGGCACAGTATCCACTGTGAACCTGACACACCCGCTTTGAGACAACTAACTGCTATTCAATCTATAACAGTGAATAAAGATTTTTGTTTTTAAATGCAAGCTATTGTGACACCAGTGAGTGAGTGGTGGCACTGGGCACAGTATCCACTGTGAGCCTGACACACCCGCTTTGAGACAACTAACTGCTGTTCAATCTATAACAGTGAAAAAAGTTTTTGTTTTTAAATGCAAGCTATTATGACACCAGATATGAGTGGCACTGTGAACTGGCAGAGTACACGCTGTAGGGCTGACACACCCGCTTTGAGACAACTAACTGCTATTCAATCTATAACAGTGAAAAAAGTTTTTTGTTTTTAAATGCAGCTATTGTGACACCAGTGAGTGAGTGGTGGCACTGGGCACAGTATCCACTGTGAGCCTGACACACCCGCTTTGAGACAACTAACTGCTATTCAATCTATAACAGTGAAAAAGTTTTTTGTTTTTAAATGCAAGCTATTGTGACACCAGTGAGTGAGTGGTGGCACTGGGCACAGTATCCACTGTGAGCCTGACACACCCGCTTGCAGACAACTAACTGCTATTCAATCTATAACAGTGAAAAAAGTTTTTTGTTTTTAAATGCAAGCTATTGTGACACCAGTGAGTGAGTGGTGGCACTGGGCACAGTATCCACTGTGAGCCTGACACAGAAGCTGGCAGACAACTAACTGCAATTACATTACACAGAAAAAAAAAGCAGACTGATGTTCTAGCCCTAAAAAGGGCTTTTTGGGGTGTTGTCCTTACAGCAGAGATCAGATGAGTCCTTCAGGACTGTAGTGGACACTGTATACCCTAACTTAGCTATGCATTTCCCTATCTAATCAACAGCAGCTACACTTTCCCTCCTCTCACTAAGCATGCAGCTTGAGAATGAATGTAAAATGGATGCTGTACAGTAGGTGGGAGGGTCTGCTAGGGAGGGTGTGCTGCTAATTGGCTGGAATGTGTCTGTGAGGTACAGGGTCAAAGTTTACTCAATGACGACGAATAGGGGGCTGATCGAACCGCACATATGTTCACCCGCCGTGGCGAACGCGAACATGCTATGTTCGCCAGGAACTATTCGCCAGCGAACCGTTCGGTGCATCACTATGTAACAGTAGTATTTAAGGGTTTTATTGGACTGCAAGAAATGCAGTACACAAATGTTCTATTTAGCACCAAAAAAATTGCAGTATTTAAAAATGTCTAGATGTTGCCCACTGAGCTACCAGAACAGGATTAAAGTAATGCACCTGGCACACATGCAGTTGCAAGTTTACTGCACTCTCTGTGGTACTGGGCTCAGGGCAGGGTACAAAAATGTAATATAGCACCCACAAAAATAATTGCTGTAGTTTGCAGATTCAACACCAGAATTCTTTCCTAATCTGTCCCTCACAGCTGCAGCATCCTGTCCCTACACTAATAAGAGCTCATGTGACGTGCAGCGCTACGTGACTCCAGCTTATATATAGAGGCTGGGTCACATGCTGCACTGGCCAATTACAGCCATGCCATTAGAAGCTGTGATGGCTTCTAAGGGCACACGAGTCAAACGCTTCTTGATTGGCTGCCCTGCAGCCTTTCAAAATGCGCCATTAAATCGCCAAACACCAAACTCCAACCTGAACATACACTGATATGTCCGTGTTCGGATCCGGGGTCCAAAAAACTTAATGTTCGGTACGAACCCAAACTTTACAGTCCGGGTTCGCTCAACTCTATATCTACACTTTAATTTTTTTTTTTAGAATTTATGTACTTAAAAAATGCTTTGGGGTTGGTTTTGGTCTCTTTGGCTATCATTTTTTCATTTTGAAGTTTATCAAATCTAATCGCCTTTTTGCACGCATTATTGGCTTCCTTATATCTTTTATAGGATGCATCTGATTTGTCCGATTTGAATGCTTTAAATGCCCTTTTCTTATTTTTAATCTCGTTTTACTTCTCTTCTAAGCCACATTGTTTTTTTTTATTATAAATTCTTTATTTTCAAAGGTACATGGATAGTGTAACATACAGATCTCGGACATGGTGGTACATCAATTATAGCAGGTTTCTTAACGCTGTTGCGTTGTTCGTAGTAGTATTGCTGTTGTTAGCTGCTGAGCACGTACAGTTCGTAGTATTTCCCATGTCCAGTCTGGATGACTTGTGTACATTTTCCATTTTTACTGGGTAGGGGCGAACTGGGGTACATGGTCTCGGGATCTTCTAGCTTCGCCTGTGAGTTTTTAGCGTTATCTCTTCCCTTTTCTGTTGGGGATTGGGAGGAGAGGGAGTGCAGTAGAGGAGGAATGGGGGAGAAGAAGAAGAAAGAAAGAAAGAAAGAAAAAGGGGGGGGCTGGGGCCAATGTTTGGTGTAGGTGCGTTTGGTGAGCTCTGCTGCCCGCCCTTGCGTTTCGTTGGTGGGGGGAGTGGGTGTTCTCACTGTTTGCTCCCTCTTTGCTTGTGTTGGGTTTCAGTTGTTTAGTCGCGGGGGGCCTGCGGTGGGGGCCTAGTGTCTTCGGGGTTGTCCCGTCGTTATGCGGTGTGGGGTCCTGCCTCTGGTCCCGTTATCTGGCCTTTGCGGTCCATTGCCGTGTCTGTTGTGACGGTTGGAGCCATGAGGCTGTGCCGTGTTGGGGCCCTAACGGTCTGGTGCTGGGGGTCTGGGCGGGTGTTTGTCTTTGGTGGGATTCACTCCTTCTGTCCGTCGGGGTCAGGGACTGCTGTGGGGTCATTCCCGGGTTGCCCCCTTCCTCTCCGGGGGTTCCTCCTCCTCTAACATCGGTGGAATCCTGTGGTGTGGCCGTGGGTATTGTCCCCCCCCAGCCGTCTGCCCGTGCCCGCTGGGGCCCCCTGTGAGGGATGTGGGTGAGGGGGGTGGGTCATTGGGGGGGTGGTGGGTTTGTGGGGTGAGGGTGAGGGGTGCAGGGTGTGGCCAGTATCCAGTGTTGGGTCCGGCGTGCGCGGAGTGTTCGTGCTGTGAAGTTCGCCAGGTAGTGGGGCTGGTGGGGTCAGCTGTCCAATGGGGCATTTATGTCACTGCAATGGTGTCCAGCGTCGGATAATTTATGTCCCAGGGGTCCCAGGTTCAATGAAACGCTTTGTAAGAGTCGTGTATCTGCGCGGTTAACTCGTCCAGATCTCGGGTTTCTATGATCTTGTTGATGATGGTTGAGAGTGTGGGAATTCGGTGGTCGGCCCACCGTTCCGCGATCGCCCTTCTGGTCGCCAGTGTTATCCTAGCGGCTAGCTTTTTCTCGCTCCTGGTGAGGGAGTCCAGTGGTTTGTTGAGTAGTATCGTCCACGGCTGCGCCGGGTAGGGTTTGTTGAGAATCTGTTCTATGAGACCGCTGATTGCCATCCAAAGCGGTTTAATTATTGGGCAGGTCCACCAGCAATGTATGTATGAGCCAGTTTCGCCACATAACTTCCAGCATAGGGTGTCGGGTTTTTGGCTGCCACATTGGTTTTAATTTGTTTCTTTTATATTTATTACCCAATGGTACATACTGAGTAATGTACCTTTCTAATATTTGTTAGAAGATGTTCCATTTATCCTCAGTGTTCTTTTCACTAAAGAGTTTATGCCAGTCAATATATTGTAAATCTGCCCTTAACTTATAGAAATTGGCCTTTTTAAAATGATATGTTTAGTATACCCCATGTGCTTTTGTTTTTTTTTTAGTTTATTTCAAAGGACACTACACCCTGTTCCAAATTATTATGCAAATTCTATTTAATTGTCACAAAGATTAAATATTTTGTTTTTCAGTTTAACTCATGGATGGCATTGTGTCTTAGGGCTATTTCGATCACTGAAAACAATCTCGGACACCTGTGATAATTAGATTGCCAGGTGAGCCTAATTTAAGGAAAAACTAAAACTACTAAAGAAGGGTGTTCCACATTATTAAGCAGAGCATCATTTTCATGAAATATGGGGAAGAAAAAGGATCTCTCTGCTGCCGAAAAGAGTGAAATAGTTCAATGCCTTGGACGAGGTATGAAAACATTAGATATTTCACAAAAACTTAAAGGACCACAATAGTGCCAGGAAAAATACTTGTTTTCCTAGCACTATAGTGCCCTGAGGGTGCCCGCACCCTCAGGGTCCCCCTCCCGCCAGGCTGGATGGAGAGGAAGGGGTTAAACTTACCTCTTTCTCCAGCGCTGGGTGGGGAGCTCTCCTCCTCCTCTCCGCCTCCTCTCCTCCTCTTCGGCTGAATGCACACGTGTGTCAAGAGCTGTGCGCGCATTCAGCCAGTCCATAGGAAAGCATTCTCAATGCTTTCCTATGGACGCAAGCGTCTTCTCACTGTGGAAACCACAGTGAGAAGCGCAGAAGCCCTCTAGCGGCTGCCAATGAGACTGCTGAAACTGCTATGTTTACAGAAAAAAAGGGTTAATCCTATCTGGACCTGGCACCCAGACCACTTCATTAAGTTGAAGTGGTCTGGGTGCCTATAGTGTTCCTTTAAGCGTGATCATGGCACTATTAAGGGATTTGTGGCTGATTCAGAGCACAGACAGGTTTGTGCAGATAAAGTCACATTGAGGAAGATTTTCTGCCAGATCCATGCATCGGATCAAGAGAGCAGCTGCTAAAATACCATTACATAGCAGCAAACAGATATTTTAAGCTGCTGGTGCCTCTGGAGTCCCACGGACATCAAGGTGTAGAGTCCTCCAGAGTCTTGCAACTGTGCATAAACCTTCTATTCGGCCACCACTAACCAATGCTCACAAGCAGAAACGGCTGCATTGGGCAGAAAAATACATGAAGACTAATTTTCAAACAGTCCTGTTCACTGATGAGTGCCGTGCAACCCTGGATGGTCCAGATGGATGGAGTAGTGGATGGTTGGTGGACGGCCACCCTGTTGGTGGAGTCATGTTTTGGGCCAGAATCATGGGAAGAGAGCTGGTAGGCCCCATTAGGGTCCCCGAAGGTGTAAAGATGACCTCTGCAAAGTATGTGGAGTTTCTGACTGACCACTTTCTTCCCTGGTACAGAAGGAAGAACTATGCTTTCCGTAATAAAATCATCTTCATGCATGACAATGCACCATCTCAACTTTGGAGCATCTTCAAGCAAAAGATGAGGGTGAGAGGCAGTTTACATACAAACAGCATCTCCGGAAGGCTATTCTGATATCTTGCAAACAAATTTAAGCAGAAACTGTCCAAAAACTCACAAGTTCAATGGATGCAAGACTTGTGAAGCTGCTATCAAATAAGGGGTCCTATATTAAAATATATCATGACCTGTTAAAATGTTTAAAAAGTAAAAATGCTGTTATAAGTTTGATTGAAATAGCTTTTGATTTCAGTAAATATGCTGCAAACACAACAAATGAAAATTTTCAGTTCTTTACAACTTATAAAGTGTTTTGAAACTTATTGTGCGTAATAATTTGGAACAGTGCATTGTAAGTTTTTTATGTTTAAAATATATACTGTTATCATTATGAGGTTTGTTCAATAAAATTTGATAGCCTGTGTCTCTGTAATGCTCTGTAATGCTGCATATATGGTGGCTTAAATCTTTATTTTCACTGGGCCCGAGCAGAGATTTCATAGACGTCCGCTCAATATTGCTTCAATGACTACTTAGAGATCATTTATAAATATGCTAAATAGGACCGGTCCCAGAACAGAACCCTAAGGGACTCCATTTACCACTCTTCTCCAGCTTAAAAATGTACTATTAATGACAATTTTCTGTACTCTATCTTTAATGGAACACTATAGGGTCAAGAATGAAAACGTGTATTCCTGACCCTATAGCGTTAAAACCACCATCTAGCCCCCCCTACCCCGTAAATATAGTAAAAATGTACCTTTATTTCAGTCTGCTGCTACTTGCTTTGCCCCTGATCTGCCTGCTTGGCTGACATTATCAGAAGTGGTGTCTGAGCCATAGGATTGGCAGAGCTTGTCAAGGAGACAGATCAGGGGCAGAGCCAGGCCTGGCCAATCAGCATTGATCCAATGCATCTTTATGAGGAAAGTTCAGAGTCTCTATGCAGACACTGATGACACTGAATGTCAATGCTGCACACTGTGCATCTGACTGGCCAGTAGAGGTATCCATAGGCTGCAATGTAAACACTGCATTTTCTCGCAAAATACAGCGTTAACTGCATTAAGCCTGAAAGGAATGATTATACTTAAAATAACAAACATAATAAGCTGTAGTTGTTCTGGTGACTGTAGTGTCCATTTAAGCCAATGTTCTTCCAAGGACATGAATTTTCATCTAGACCCATTTCTTTTAGCTTGAACACTAACCTATTTTGAGGAACCATATGAAATGCCTTGGCATAATACAAGTAGATCACATCCACTGTAACACACTGGTCTAAACTTCTACTTACTTCTTTGTAATCAATTAGGTTACTTTGACATTGTAATAAATTTGCTTCTTATGTGTATTTCAGTCTTTTATGTATATTTTTTCTTGGGTAAAAGGCTAGCCATGTTAATATACGTCTATATTAACAAATAATACTAATACACAATCTGACTTACAGTTTCTTCAGGTTTATTTTTAGAGTTACAGATACATAATAAAACAACAAAGGATGTTACAGGATAATGGATGTTCAACAGCAGGTGGTAATTGCTGGACTCCTGAAGGGTGAGTTAGTCTCTACATAGTTAGACAGCGAGACGAGAAGAACAACCTCATGCAGCAAGCAGCAAGATGTGTGTCTCAATCCCCCAGCCCCCATATGTGTCTCAGTCCCCAAGCCCCCATATGTGTCTCATTTCCTTTCCTCCCCCCTAATGGTGTTAATTTTGGTGGCAAATTTCAATTTAGTTTTAGTCATAGTCTTTTGACTAAAAAGCAATTTTAGTTGTATTTTAGTCATCTGAATGGTTTTAGGTAGTCTAGTTTTAGTCGACTAAATCTCCAAAATTTTAGTTGACTAAATTAAAATTGGGGCACAGGCAGTTGGAAAGAGGGCACTGGGTTCATGGCATGGACAGTGGCATGCTGGAGTTGTGGAAAAAGCACAGCAGCTGACTTATAAGGACACTCCAGACCCTTAAATCACATTAACTTTCCGAAAGACATGGTGTGAAGAGTGGGTACTCTTTTTTCCTTCCTATTTTACAAAAAAAAAGTACAGATTTCAATAAAAATTGGCACTTTCACAAATTAACCTTGTTTCACCCCATTGCAGTCCTGTTACTTCCAGCATTGTTTAGCTCAGTGAAGTCAAACTCATTAAACAGTGATTTTTATTTTTTAATTTGCGCAGTGTAGTGTCTCTTTAATTTAAATTTAATTTACAGAATGTACAGACTTGAAAAGCTATGGAAGAGAGGACAACCTGCAGGATTTATTATAATAAAAGGCACAGAATGCAGAGCTATAGAATGTTGCAGGCTTAAGAAGCTATAAAAAAGTTCGGTATTGCTCTTCAGTAATGTGCTATACACATTACTGCATTATAGAGCTCTGCAATAATCTGCAGTACATGTTAGTGCATTATAAAGCTCCACAGTAATGTGCAGTATATATGATTGCATTATAGGGCTCCAAAGTAATGAGCAGTACATAATAATATGCAGTGTTTGAGTATTACAGAGTGACACAATAATGCAGGGTGTTTGAATTTATCACATAGAATAAACTGAATTTTCTTTTCTATCAGCTTCTCCAGAGATTAACTCTGTATCTGAACCCAGACTCCTGTTTGTAATATGGTGCAGGACCATACTGCCCTGGGGCCAATGTGAGATGCGGCCGCAAGAGAACACTCCCTCCGCTAATTTCATGTTGCCGCCGCAAATCTTATATCCGGCATCTTTTCGCTCCGGCATGGTACATGCAGGAGACTGTGTGAAGTCTAGGGCAAATCCTGTGAGTGCAATCTAAATGCCGGGGCAAGTGCTGTGGGAAGACCCGTGAGTGCAATCTCAGTGCTGGGGTAAATCATGAGTGCTAGGGCAAGTCCTGTGAGTGCAATCTCTGTGTATACACACACACACTCTCTGTGCATATGTGTAGATACACATGGTTATATCCCATATACTGCCAGGGGTGGACTGATTACTCGGGTACATTGGTCATGGACAGAGGGCCCGAGACAGCCAGGGGCTTGGCTGCACAGCCATGCTCCAGCTTGAGAGATCAGAGATCTCTCCAACTGGAATAGCAAAATAAAAAATAAAAAAAATGATCTCTTCCATTGATAGGTTCTGGGGCCCCTGATGGAGCGCAGGCAGGGTCGGCACGTCCATAAGGCGGCCTCCTTAGGGTGCCCGGAGGGTAGATTCAAAAATCTGAAACCCATGCCATCAGCCAGGGATTCAGGTTTTTCAATACAGTCGCAGCTTTCCCGGCTCCCTCCCTTGTACACGGAGGTGAAGTCTGTGCCACACTCTCCTGATGTCGTCAGGAGGAGGGCACTACTCCAACATAGCAGTGCCCGTGCAGTGGAGCCAGCCTGTGTATCGGTCTTTCAATGTAATCCCTTATCCCCCTAATTCTTTGCCACTTTGTCCGCTGTATTCTCAGGGTGGATAAGTTGTTTAATGTTTTTGTACTTTGTACCCAAATAAGCTATTAATTCCACTGTGAAAATTGCAGTAAATGTGTGTGTAATTTACTATAAAAAAACTAAAACTACTTGCGCACAATTCCAAATTCCTATGTACATTTAAATAACTGGAGGTTTTTTAGTATGAGTATCGTATTATGAGCTCATCTGCCCGTTATAATTATATTAAATGTTCGTAGGGATTCATAGGGATTTGGAATAGTGTGCAAGTAAATTTTTCTTTTTTATTGTATTTATTGGGGCTGATGTGTACTATGGTCATTGATGCTGCCCAGGAGAAGTGGGAATTTAAGCACAGGGCATAATTTTGTATGTTTATGTCTGTATTTAGTTTAACCTTTTAATTATTTTTGTCAATTTTGAATGATTTTGCCTTGTAATCACAACACAAAACATATTGGGAAATAGTACAACACTTAGGGCAGGGCTCGACAAATCCTAGGACTAGATTAGGAATTTTGTCCTGGCACTTGGGTGTTTGTTAGGCCATTCAGCAGAAGGTGGCTGGCCTAGGGAGCATGGAGTAGCAATCTTCCTGCAGTTCTTGCTCTGTTTCCTCCCATGCTGGTTAGTGATGCCTGCATCTGGAATGACGTCACTCCGTCCCAGTGGCTGATGAGAGTGAGGAGCCTCCATCCTCACTGCAGCCTCGTCCTCCCTCCCCTGCGACTCCTCCTGCCCCTTCCAACGCAGCTCCTCTCTTTATGGGAGGAAGTGACTTGCAGCTGTCACTTCCTCCCAGCCGGCTTCTGGAAAGCAAGTTAAAGGGCCACAGTGCCCGACCGGGCCCATGCTTATACAAGCCCACCGGGTAGCCCTAAGTGCATGGGCCAAAAAAAAAAGAAATTGATGAGGGCAGCTGGGCCCACAGGGCAGCTGCCTTGGGTCCCCTAGGAGTAACCGGGCCTGGGGCAGCTGCCCTGTTTGCACCTCGTTAAAGATGGCCCTGACAAGACGAGCAGGGAGAGCAGCCACACCTATCCTAGTGAAAGAATCCACTCCAGCTCTCCCAAAGGTAGGGAGGCTGGTTGTACTTAAATTAAAATAAAATAAAAATAATAATAATTTGTGAGTGTATGGTAAAATGTTTGTATGTATGTTTAGGTTACCACCCCCCTCCGATCTCATGGAACAGGTATTTTTACTCACCTTTTTTCTAACACTGTGCTGGTCTCACCATGGTTGGCCCTGCCTCTGTGGCTGAGTTAATCAATCTTTATGATTTCAGCCAAGCCAATGATTTCTCGTAAGAAAGCATTGGAAGTCTATTGTAAATGCGCTGCAACAATCTACTCGTAAAGATGTGCACTGTGCAGCATTGGACTAGGAATCACCTCTACTGGCCATCTGAGTGACTGTCACTAGAGGTGTTATTAGGCAGCAATGTAAACACTGCCTTTTCTCTGAAAGTGCAGTGTTACATTTAGAGGCCTGTATGGGTAGGCTTTAG